AGCCTTTTTATGTGTATATATGTATTAGTAAATGCTTGAACTGAATGCCTGAACTTCTAGGGCTGGATCCCATCTAAATACTGTGCACAGATGTATTTTCTTGCCTCCACCTTTCCCAAAGCAGCCTCAAATGCACCCACAATACTGCTCCTGGGGGGGACCCCAAGAAGCTACATGGGGGGGGGGGATTGAAGGCTGCCTCTCCTCTTGAGCATGCAGATCTTTTTGATGGGATCCAACCCCCCTATATTTATTGAAACATGGATCCTCCCCTACTCCTGGATATGCAATTTCTATAGCCCTGTTCAGGGCCAGTTACGGCAAACACATATACATCCTGACTCTACATGTGTACATCTGTTTGCATGAAAGAGCCAATGCACATTCACTCTACAGATGAAGCCAGGAGCCAATAGCTTGACAGATGTGGAGTAACATCACACCTTGAACTGTACATGTGTTAAACGCAAGATGACAATTGCTCACACTACACAAAGAAAAAAATCAGCTGTACACTGTATACAGATTGTATGAATGTTCACTCTAATTTGTGACCAGGGTTATATCAGAGGTCAGTGGGGACACTAACATTCCAGTAAATGGGTGTTTTTTTAAGTGCCTCATTTCACTTTTTATAGGAAGATGAGGACACTGAGGGGGGATTAGTAGAAAACTGCCACTAATCACACTGCCGGGGGGGGGGGGGGGAGAAGAAGAGGAGTAACATTTGAACTGATCCTTCAATAAGCTTCTGTTCTGAGTAGACTGACCTAAATTTCTCCACAAGCATTTTCTGCTTCACTGAGGCTTCCAAAACAATATGATCATCAACAGAAGAATAAGCTAAATTTCTCTTTATGAGAGTCAAGATATGGATGTGGATCCTGAGGAAGAATTTCTGCTGACTGAAGGGAAAGGGGATTTTTGCTGATTCCTCCTTCCCCCTGCAGACCTTAAATTCCCTCCCTCATGCTTTTGGGAGGGGGGCATTTGGAGGCATTTTGGACCACAGGTAGGGGGAAGCAAGGAAATCCCTCCTGTCTACTGAAATTTTCTGCTGGATCTAAGCTGAAATCTGCCACTGAGCAGCTGCAAGCTATTTGAGAACTTTTTAAAAAAAGGCCTCAACTATTAAAGTTTAAAAATGAAAAGTAGGGGTGTTAATGGTGCTTTTTAGCCTTCATTAAGCAGTAATTCTGAATGAATGCAAATAGCAACTGATGAGCTGATTTAATTCATTTTACTTTTTGTGTGGGCCATCAAATAATGTATGATTTAGGAGAGAGGGAAAAATAAAAGTAGATTTCTAGATGGAGGGGGGAAGATACAAACAAGTCTAGCCTTTTTATGTTGGCAGGCATGTATTTTTGGAATTCATTTGACATTTACAGCCTTTGTGTGTTTGCCTTAATGTTCAGTTCTTATTTCTAGCATTCAGATCCATCAGATTTCACTAGATTTGAAATATAGAATAGCAGACCAAGAGAAAAAAGACAAGTACCAGTGTTTTAAAAAAGTGATTTTTAATTTTTAAATTAATAAAAAACCTTCAACCTGTTTAAGCAAGATTCTGATTTTAAAACCTTTTTTAAAAAGCCACAGCTCCCCCATTGGATGTAAGGGAGCATCGGGAGCCCTCCTTCAAAAGATCAATCTTCTGGGGAGGTTGATGTGCACTGATGATATCATTTTAAAACTGCCTTCCAGCACAGCCTCCCCAAATGCTTAAACATTGTCCTTTTTAAAGGGAAACAACTTGAGTTGAAGGGGGTGGGGTGGGGGGGGGAGAATTCCCATGAACAAAAAAAAAAGGGCAAGGAAGAGAGGAGGAGGAAGAGACGTAATTCCGTGGTAAAGTACAAAATGTAGCTGATTTAAGCTATCCGAGGCACACCTGCTGCAACCATCAAAAAAGTTTCAACAGGCCAGAACTGGGGAACAGGGTTTAAAACCAACATAAGAGCACCCAGAACAACCCCACCTCACGTTCCTGTTATTGATTTGCCCATGCAGAGGCAGGAGTTTGGTGTCAAAATAATTTATTTGGAGTGCAATGTGCGTGTCTGCACTGACGCCCTCCCCCCCAAACCTTCAAGGGGGTAGGGCTATGCGCTCGCTCTTCCTTGCATGTACATCATCATGTCCAGAACTCCACATGCTGCTTAAAGAGGAGAGCCTCAACAATATGCCTAACCGCAGAGATATTTCTACTGTATTCCAGTATTTCTTGTCAGGCTCCTTCCGTAGGCTACAGGAAATCTCTATAAAGCACACCCCCCACACATGACCCTCAGAGAACAGATCTTTTGTCCCCATGCGGGGGGGGGGGGGCTGGGTTCCTTCAGCAGGTTATGCCCCCGGCTCAGTAAGTTCTCTGAAGCACCTCTGCTTCACCAGGCATTTCTCCCCACATTACTCCTGGCCTTTATCTGTAGCAAAGGCAGCCACAATTTGAGGCATGTGGTTTCCCTCAGCAAGAGGCTTCCAAGGGTCCCTCAACAATCTCAGTTGCTACAGGGCCATCTCCCCACAGCCGGGAGCCAAAGTTTGTTTTTCTTTTTTTAAAGGAGGGCAACAAAGGCAGTGGGGGGGGGGATCGGCTTGAGCCCCGCCCCCTCCACACAAAAGCCACTCTGCACAAATCCAACAGAGCCGCTGCTTTCTCCAAGCAGCATTCTCAGAATCCCACCTGGATCTTTGCTATTCCGTCGCTTTCATTTGTGATGTATATACATTAGATATATTTATACATTTATATATTATAGTTATATAATTTTTTTTCTTTAAAAAAAAAGAGAAAGGACCAGTTATTAACTCTCCTGAAGGAGATGGGGGAGGGGGGGAAAGAGGACCATAGGGAATGTGGGATGCCATCCCCACAGTTTAAAAAAGAAAAAAAAAAAGAAAATGGAAAAAAATCCTCACAACTATAAAATATTCCAGTGCGATCTTCAGGAAAAAATACCCTCCCACCCCTTCCCCAGTGCCATCCCTGGATCTGCAATATCATCATTCCCCCTAATTTCTCCCCCACTCTAAAGCGTTAAGTCTTATCTCTGGCCATCCGTTGCCGTCATTGCTTTCTGTTGGGGGGCCCCTTGCTGAGACACAGGAGGCCACATGGGCTGCTGATGGTGGAGATGATGGTGGAGGTTATGACTAGTGGGCGATGAAGGAGGTATCCAGGCTGGTTGATGGTTGGGAGGCGAAGAGGCCCAGAAAGGACTAAAGCTACCCGGAGGAGAACAGGCCATGGACGTGATGGGGCTGTTGCTGCTCTGGAGATTCTCTGAAGTTCGGAGCTTGGAAAACATAGCAAGAGCATCTGGGAAGTTAGGAGGTGTGGCTGGGGTATTGCTGGGTGTGCACATCTGGAAGAGGAGAAGAAGAAAAAATATATTTACCAGAATTATAGCTCTGAGTATATCACTTGGTCAGTATAACATTACTATAATAGTTCCCAACTTGGCTTTGTTTAACTTAAGCTTCAGCTGTCAGCCACTCCGGTACCAATCTCACAAAGCAAAATGACCACCACAATCCTAGGTCTGTGATTTGGTTCAGTGAGAAGTTACTGACGGCCCCAGAATGCTTTCAGAGTTACAGGTACCTGCTCACAACTACAAGCCAAAGGAATAAGAACAATGGATGTAGCCTCACACTGCAAATGGTGCATATTCATATTGCCGGATACTGTGCTCTTACAGCAGTTTGTAACAGGACCGGTTTGTCCACAAAGGAAAATCCAATAGTCAACAACTTACCATTGAGCAATGATAGCATAGTGTCTAGAGTAGGGGTGTCAAACTCATTTGTTACAAGGGCTGGATCTGATATAAATGGGACTTTGTGGGGCCAGGCCACGACTGTCATAAAATGTAATGCCAGGTAGCAGAGATACAAACTTTATGAGAGATACAAACACAACTAAAGATATTATTTTTTACTTAAAATACACTCTTGCGATATTTTGTTTAACAGTCTTTGATAACTCACGGACACCTCCCAAACCTCCCCACCCCCGCTTAAAACATGTCTACCTAAAATGGAAAGGTTGGGGAATAGTGGGGTTTGGCTATGCAATTTTTAAAATAAAACATCAAGAAAAAGCACAAGGATTACAGCAGAAACTAAAACATCAACCAAAAATATAAAATGCTCTGAGCCTCGGAACATAAAATGGCTGAGCATTGCAGGTTTCTCCCCTCCCCCCCAGGTATACTCAGAGTGGCAGTGGCTCTGCAGCGTAATGTCCCCCTTTGGCTGTGGGTTCCCAGGCTAGAGTACTCATTCATGCACCCGTTCGCTGGTCCATTTCGCAGAGACAAGCTGGCTCAAAACATCAACCCTGTATTTGCAAGGAGACAACTCCAGCAAGCAGCTTCAGCTAGACAAACACTGGAAAGTGAAGCTACTTGAGCTCCACTCCACTGAAATACATTGCAGCACAGACAAAGCAGCAAAGCAAATGAGGAATGGATTTCCCATTAAGGTCTCTGGGCACAGATAGACTACTCTGGGACTAGAATGACAGCCACCAGAGTGAAATGACAGTCCCTGGGAATAGCAGAAGCATTCTGGGATTGGAATGAGGGCCCCCAGAGTGAAATTCCATTTCCAGAATGCTGCTGCTACTCACAGGGGCTGTCATTCCAGTCCCAGAACATAGATTCTATTGCTAGGGACCATCATTCTACTCCCGGGGCTGTCATTCCAGCCGGGCCAGAGCACTGTTTCTATTGCTAGAAACAGTCCCAGAGTAGTCTATCTGGGTGCAGAAACCTTAACGGAAAAATCCATTCTGTATTTTCCTTGTAACTCTGCAAGCCCAGAAGAGCTTCCTGCAGAAGCAGGCAAAGACAAGAGGAGGGAGCAGAGCTGGGAATTTCAGCAGCCTCAATTTTAAAGGATGAGGCCAGGAGGGGGAAAGAAAAGAGCCATGGGCGGGCTGCTTCCAGCAGGGGTATCGAACTCATTTGTTATGAGGGCTGGATCTGACATAAATGAGACCTTGTTGGGCCGGCCACGTGTTTTATAAAATGTAATGTCAGGTAGCGGGGATCTAAACTTTATAAAGGACACAAACACAAAGGGATTTTTTTTTACTTAAAATAAAAACATGCTTAAAACATTAGCACTCTTGCAATATTTTGTTTATTTAACAGTGTCTGATAACTGACACCTGTTGCTCTGAATTATTGCATCAAAACGTCTGTGCTGCTGCAATCTTGAGTATGCTGTTCAGGTTTGTAAGCTACAAACCTACGATGACGCAGCAGCAGCAGAACTGGAAGCAGCAGCAGAAGACAGCCAGTTCCACTGTGGGCATGACAGAAGCCCTCCGAGAGCCTGATCCGGCCCCCGGGCCACGTGTTTGACACCCCAGTCTAGAGTGTGGATGCAGCCAAAGATTAAAGGAAGGGGATTTTGACAGCCAGCCCCAAATGAAATCCAACATCACTACTGCCGTTTCCAAGCATGTCCAAGAGATATTAAGGACAACTAATCAAATTAAGTAACCTGGAGTGTAAATTGCCCTGTGTCCCATTCAAGGCCCCTTCCCACACAACATGTAAAATTTTGGCAATAAGAAACATAAATATTAAATATTAAGAAAAGATGGTGGCATTCTCTCAGTATCCAGGTGGTCAACCACCACCATGATCCGGGTTCTTGCCAGGCTGTTATTAAGCCAGTGCTGATGTTAGGGCCAGGACCGCGATATTGAAAGGCCAATGATGCCAATAGCGTCTCGCTATGGTCTCAGTGGGTTTGCTGTTCTTAAGGACAAGATCAGTCTACCAAAATCCACTTCTTGCCAAATAAGGGGGGTGGGTGGGTTGCACACTACCGCTCAAGCTGTCCCTGCTACTTGGAAGTGAGAAGCCCTCTCTCGCTGATGGCAGGGAAGAGCTACATTTGTGGCTGGAGGGATTTACAGCTGGCAGATCTATGCCCAATCTGGCTGTTGGTGGCTGCTATTTACACCATTGGGGGACTTACATGTACTGATGGGCTACAGGTTATATTTCCTTCATGGGACAAACAGCAACTCCCCGGAGTTGTTCCAGGTGGGGACATGGTGGGTGGGGGGAGATTTAAGCTCCTTCTTGGCAATCACGCTCCCTTCTCCCTACTGTCCCAATCCAAACTGGGATCATGGTGTACCTGGGGAATGCAGAACTCCAAAACGTCTCTCCTGAGCTAACCTGGGGGACATCCTCAGGGAAAATGTGCCATGCAGTGAGGCCTGAAGTGCAAAAGCAGGCAGCACCTACCTAGAAGCCACTTTATGAAGGGGAAGGTGGGAGAAATGCAACGCTTATCATCTTCCACTGCTTCCTCAGCAAGCTTAGTTGTTGATCCAGGTATCAGAGCTTCATATTCAATAGTAGGAAGCTGAGCAGCTTCCCTTTTAACAGACCTGCAGGAAGCAGTCTGCAGACTGGCATCAGTCTCTGGGCCAACAGTTGAAAACCACACACAACCCCTTTCCTTGGTACAGCATGGAAAGTAGGAGCAGCCTAGTCTCATCAACAGGAAGCCACATAGACAGAGGTTGCCTGTAAAGGGAGGAAGGAGCTTCTACTGCAGGAAAACTCCAGTGTGAGTTAACAAGATTTGAATCCTACACTTCCACAAGGTACTCTGCTCAATTTTTTTAAAGTTGGTTACAGTTTTCCAATGATAACAAAAGCAAGGATCAAATGGCTGCTTCCCAGAGCTTTGTCATCTCCGCCCTATCCCCCATAACAACTCAGTGGAATCTGTTGCTTAAGCATGGACAGATGTATAGTTCACCCTGCAAGGAAACAGAAAAGGAGGAGGGGAACCCAACCTGAGAATTGTCAGGAATCTAGAAAGGTTGAGCAGCTAAACACAAAACAAAATACATCTATTTAATGTAAACGGCACAGTAGCCACAATTTAAAAACATTCGTTCATAGATAGGAGATAAAAATAAAGAGGTAATGAGTATCACCTTACATTCATGAAGACACTGCATACAACAACAAATGTAAGTTACACACACAATAGTCACTAGACCAAAATATTGGTTACACACACTCTAGTCTAAACGCGTTTCAGCCTTTAGGGCCTTCTTCAGTGCGTGCCCATGTGTCCACCACAGTAGGTACCCATGTGTCAACTATACTAGGACTTCCCTTAGATTCCCTTCACTTTTGGTTGACACATGGACACACACTGTAAATAGAGTAACAGCCAAGAGCAGGTCTATATGTGAAAATTTCGATATTTTTTTTTTAGGATTACTTCTGACTTTTAGCGGGGACATACTCAATAATACTATAGGTTAATTACATATTGATGCTATGCCATCTCTCTCTTTCACAGAGTTATCATCTTTGATGGGTGTGGGCTCCTCAATATATGCAGGCCTGATTGACAGCAAAACTTTATAATTATTATTTGGAGCTACACTATTCCATTGCAAGTAGCGACCATTCTTTAACTTCTTTAAAAAAAATATTTGTTCTGGCCAGTTCGTATGTTACATTCTGATAACACCCTTACACGTGTATTTTTTTATTCTTAGGATTCATATACAACCTGCCTTGCCTGGAAAAGATATTTTATAATTTTACTGTGTGTTATTATTTAGTCAACTAAAAAAGGCCCTCATGGCCAAAATGCAGCACTTTAGTGGCTTTTGTACGTGTAACTTATATTTGGTGCTGTATGCAATGTCTTAATGGATGTGTTGTGACACCCATTACCTCTTTGTTTTTATATACAATCTACTAACGTTGTTTTTAAATTGTAGTTACTGTGTATTTTTCAATAAACAGATGTATTTTGTTTTATGTTTTAGCTGCTCAACCTTCTTAGTTCACTCTGCAATCCAGAGTCTAACCCTGATTACACTGAAAGAAATCACAGGTTAACACAAATCAGAACCATAGTGCACAGTGGTCAGAATATCAAACTAGGACCTGGGAGAACCAGGTTTGAATCCCCACTCTGCCATGGAAGCTCGCTGGGTGCCCTTGGGCCCATCACAATCTCTCAGCCTAATCCATCCTCCAAGGTTGTTCTATGGATAGGGTGGAAGAGGGGAGAATGATGTGATAAGACATTTTGGGTCCCCATTATGAAGAAAGTGAGAGATTTTTTAAAAAGAACCTTAATTCAAGCCTGAATTACATTAACTTTTGATTTGAAAAACTGAATTGCACAACTTTTGATTTGAAAAACTGAATTGCACAATTCACTTTGTAAATTAACCTTACAAAAGAACCACCCAAACATTATTTGTATAATTATTTGTATAATTTCTAAAATTATTTGTATAATTATTTGTATAATTTCTACCAGACAGAAGAACTGAGAACTTTATTGTTCATGGGAA